TGTGTTTTCCCTTACAGCACAACTTAAATGTTGGCCATGGCATCATTAATAAGCATGTTAATTAAGGGATTAAGCTAATACAGGGGTATTAAACATACAGCCAGCTAAGCTACTGGCAGGCCTAGTAATTTGGGGTATAACTAGGGGTGGGCATAGCCTGACACAGAATGCAGGGCTCTGGAGCCCTGTGGACATGACCATCAGGAGCAGATGTGTGAGGAGCCATGTGGTCCAGATCCAGCCCAGGGGGCAAGGTGAGCTCCATACCCCTAGATTAGTAGATCTTTTTCTGTTTGTTTTGCTTATGTGCCTTGAAGTCAAATTAAAAAATGAACAGCCAACCAGGTTTCATGCTTGTCTACTCATAACTGATAGAGACTTATGAGTGACAGTGGATGTGTCTACATGAGATGCTATGTCACCATAGCAATGCACTACAGCAACGTAGTGTCGGTGGGTGCAAACCATGACACTGCAGTTACATCACTGTAGCAACACACTCCCTCACTATAGCATTTTGCTGCAGCAACATAGCAGCTAAAAATAACTGTGCACCTCTGGCACAGCACGGTATGAGCTTTTACTGTGCCATCACTTAGTACCACAGGTAGAAGCAAACAGTAAAAAATAAATCTGTATCATTAGCAGTGAGATTTAATATCTAACATAATATAAAATATGCATATATCTGCTCTGTTTTTAAAATGTTTTAATTTTATTTTTTTAAACAATAAACTTGTTTGCAGTGGAGAAATCATTGTCTTTTTAGTCCACCCACTCAGGAACATAAAGATGAAATAGCTGCTTATTTTGGCCTCCCCCTATTTGTAAAACAACAACTAATTAATAGACCTTCTCCACAGAGTCTGTTCCAAAATTTACTGAAAATTATTGATGATGCCAATCTAAGGAATGCAGAAAACAAACTGGAGTTGCATTCCTTTTTGCCATGCCAGAAGTACACCATAGTGCACTTTACTGAATGAAAGATAAAATTGAAATGAAATGAATACTCTGTCTTTAAGCATCTTTTATTGTGGGGCTGTCCAACTTCAAAGTGGCCAGGGCCACATGCCCAATGGGCTGCACTAGTGGTGGTTGCACACCTCAGGAGGGCACTAGTGATGGCCACAGGCACACACCTGTGGGCCCTCTGTCCAGCTGTACCACATGTGAAGGTGGGGACTCCCTACCCCATTACATGGGCATGCGGATGCCCCTCTCTGCATGGCGCAGCACCCCTTCAGCTTCTTGTGGGCTCTTCTGTGGCCCTGTGCCACATAAGTACTCTGGGCTGCTGGCTCCCCTAGCGCCATGGACTACACCACTCCATTCTTTCCCATTCCCTGGGGATGGGGCATGCAGCAGAAGCCAGGGAGTTCCCAGTCCCCAGCTACTGCTGTAGCTGAAACAATAGCAGCAGCAGCGACCAAGTGGGAGCCCAAGGGGCTGTTAACCCCACCAGTTGGACAGCCACGTTTTATTTAATTATGCATATTTTGCCTGAATTGCCATTATTATATGCATCTTTCTGCTCCAGCACAGAAACTGCCTCTCTCTTCTTTCAGCATTCATTGTTTTTCTGCTGCCTTTTATAAACTTGAAAATGTGAATTCCCTAAATGTTGATCTTTTTTCAGATGCCAACTTGTTATTGTGCTCCTGGCCAGTATCCACACTCCAGTCAGCAATATCGACAAGTTACTTCTGTCCATTACAACGCACAGCAAAGCCAACCACTGCCACAGCCTGCACAACAGACAGGTTTGCTGAGTTTTTTCACTGCTTTTTGTGCTTACAGGCTTTTAAGAATACTGCTGATGCTTTCAGATATTTAATCTCAGCAAAGCAACATCAGCTAGTTATGCAAAAACATTTTTCAGTTCATAAAACTTGAATAGATTGCACATGAAACTTGACATTTGTAGAACTTCAGGGGTCATCTAGCTCTCAGTCCTAGTCTTCTGCCCAGGTGTAGGATTTGCTCTTTCTGAACCATCCCAAACATACCTACCCAGCATTTTTTGAAAACTTCAAATGAGATAGATTCCACAAATTCCCTAAGCAGCTTGTTCTATGTCTTAATTTTAGCCCATAAATTAATATAAATAAGTCTATCCTGTAACTTGAGTTTCATGGTTCCTTATTTCTTCAGTTGCTGAATTAAATATTCTTCAAATCTAAGCAGGGAATTTATGTGCAAATAGGTAGCTTTGGGATTAAGATTCCATTTCTCAAACTGAGGGACATTTGAATGGCATGTCCACTTCTTCAGAAGTTACCTACCTACCCTCCCGAATGGGGTTGGGAGGGTAGGTAGCGGCAACCAGTCCCGGAGCAGTGGTCACGTGCAGAGCGGCGGTGTGGAGTGGTAGATGGCAGTGGCAGCCACTGTGTACAAGCTTCCCCCTCTGCTGCTCTGGGACTGGCTGCCGCTACTCCACGATGTAGCGTATTTTTAAAAGTGCTGGATTTTCGAGAACTCCGGATTTTTTCATATCCAGATTTATGAGGTTATACTGTAGTACTAATTCTTCTGCTACTTTTTGTTTGTAAGAGGCTGCAGCTACAAAAGTATCAACTGATATTTTTTAGTCTATATATCATTTGTGATATAATGAGATCTAGATGTCAAAGAAATTACTATATCTGCTCATGATTTAAGACCTTTGGCATTACATATCAAGTCAGTCCTGTTTCTGGTAACGGCTGCTCTTCTGTGTTTGTAACATCTCTCTGGTAAAATCCCACAGGACTAATTTCTGGTCTCTTTTCTTCTATTTTCTCTCCACTTTTTCCCTTCCAGATCACCTTTAATTTTAACTACTGCTTTAAATCTTCTGATAATTTTGAATTTTCTGAATTGCTAGGAATGTCTAGATTCCAAAAGTAGATTATTTTGCTTTTGGTCAAAGAAATGAATTAATTGAGATATGAGCCAAACTTCATCAGAAGTGACCAATGATATTAAAAGTACAGCTTATGGGCACCTATACATGTGCTCCAGGATGGAGTGGGGGCTCCCAAGAGCCGCTCTAATTAAAATGCCCACAACATCTCGTGTATTCAGCATACTTCGTTTAAAAATGGTGGTGGAGGCGTTTTATGTAAAGTTCATTCAACAAGCTTTAGTTAAAGCACCCCTACCACCATTTAGAAACATGGGACACTGAATACACAAGACGCTGCAGCACGCTGGAGTATTTTGATTAGAATCAGAATGTGTCAAAGCACATGTAAAATTGTCTTGCAGGACAGAGTCTCTAAATTAAGCCTTTTAACTTGGTAACTTGAAAGTTGGTAACTTGAAATTCGAGATACATTCTCAACTTACTAGCAATCTGGGTAAGTTAACAACCCTACAATCAGACTGCTTAATATTCTACTCATTTATTTCCTTAATTATGAAGGTCCTATTGAACACACTTAGGACCAGGTATAGTTGATTGTACAGCTTAAAATTTTGACAGCCTCAGAAAATGTTTGTATTTCCAAAGGGAAGTTATTCACTATCTCAAACTGTTCCAGGATGTTCTTACCTCCACCACAATATACTGCCATGGGCTATGGCTATTAATCTGTAACTCCCAGTAAAGCTGCTGTGCTTCTGGAATCGCACAAGAGTTTGCTAACAGAGGATCCAAGTATTACAGTTTGAGGCCACAGCAGAAGTGCTTACAGTGCAGCCTGTCAGATTCAACGAGTCTGCAAATTACATTAAACACCTAGTGATAAGGACATGGGAAAGGAAGGAAGTGATGGTTTTCACAGAAATGTGCATGAACAGTAATAATTTTTCTGCTTTTACAGCTCAAAATGATGTCTCTTATTTCAAAGACATTTTTCTGCAAGATATACTGTAGATACTACAGTTTCCCTATCTGATGAGAGAATGCTTTTATTGACTGAAAATTCTTTCCTTAAGCAGTTACTAATTTCACTGTTCTGTAATAGTTTAACTACTTCTACAATAGTTTAACTTCTTTACAGATTCTATCCACCTCAGATAAATTATAGTGGCAAATCTGGAAGTTTCATACACTGTATTTTTAAACAGTTAACTGTGCCTTCTAACCACCTTTCATGCCTGTATTGACCAGTTTCAGTTAGATAGAAGTGCTGCTTTTGAACATGAGAAAAATACATTCAAGCAACCTTCATGAAGGTTGTTTTCTTTCCTGAGTTAAGCGTGACAGTTACTTCCACTGTCTAGTTATAGGTGTAACCTTTGGCTCTGACCTTGCAACCTTGGCCCAAATGTATTAACATCTACAGATTTACATGCTGAAATCTGCATCAGGCCCCTTTTACAAATCAGAATTGTACCCGAAGTTCACTTATCCACAATTTGTCATATCCACAAAATGTTGTTATAAATGAAGGTGTGTTGGTGATGAGAACAATGCAGATAAATGCATGTAGGTTATAAATGTGTGAAGTGCAAAACCATAGTAGCAGTTAGCACTTCAGTTATGTAATTGCATTTCATTTTATGTATGAATTTATGGAAATTATTGGTGTCAGGAAACATAACTTTAGTGTAACTACAGTGTGATTAAATTGCAGTATCAAATGTAACATTTTTAGAATGTATTTTTAAATGTAATCTTTTTGGGATACAGATGCCTTCTCTCCATGTAGCCCAGAATTTATCTGTGTCTAACAAAGTAAGAGGAAAATTGAATTAGGATTGTGCAAGGGGGAGTTAGAATTTGTTTGCAAGGGTTGGTGAATTTTTTTGACTGAAACTTGTGTATGTGGTGCCAGTAAAATACTGAAGTTTACAGCCTTTCATTCCTGTCCATATTCTGCATAAGCAAGGTACTTTCATTTTGAAGAATAACTGCAGCTTTTTATTTACTTGAAAAATTAGGAACAATGGGTGCTGATTCTAGTTACTTTGTGATGCCATGTCAAAAATGGTTAGTTGCAAAGCTGCCTGTCTGAACAAAAGTAGGACTGATTTTTTTAAAAAAAGGGGTTTTCTACTTCATATATTACAAAAACATATATACGGCACTAGAGATGACCCAAGCAGGGTGCGGAGCCTGGGGCAAATCAGCCTGTGGGGGGCCCTGCCCCTGGATGCAAGCTGGAAGGAGTATTTGAAGAACTGGCAAAGGTAGCAAGATGCATATTTTACTCTTAGATCTCTCTCTGCTGTTACATGACCCTCAGTAACTCATTAAACTGCCCCAATTATCTATGGCAAAATGGGTATTCTGGTAAGTGCTTTTTATTTTTGTGTACAGGTTTAGCTAAAACATTGCAGACTTTGTAACGGACAAATCACCTGTTGCTTCTCAGTCCTTCACAAGTAAAAATATCTCTACTGGGTTTTGTTTTCTGGAAAGGAAGACTTTTTTGAGTGGCTGTCTATATATATTCTGTCTTTGGATGCATGTGCTGATCCTTATAGCTTTGGGCATCCCCCTACCTCAGTGATAAGGAGCATAAAGACAACCACACTTTTGGGTGCACATGCATTGTCTGAGCTGCTTGCTCATGGTCTACCACATTACTATGAATAGCAGTAAATAGTTACTTACCAGTTTGTTATTGATTTTATTTTAGGGCAAAAAAGCATTCTGAAATTGTAGTGTTTCCTCTTCTGGAGGAAGAAAACCTGATGAGTATATTTTTTTTTCATTTTTGTTGTGTTGTTTTGTTACCTGGGAGTCTGCCTTAGGACTATGACCAATCATTATGATTGAATAACTCCAGGCTTTAAAACTTGCCCTTTATATGAGACTATGATGTTATCTGTTGATGGACACACTGCATGTTTATTGTGTCTACATGTGAGACATAGCAAGTAGATATACATTTTAAATGTATAAGGGAACCTAAAGAGTAGGGAGTCTGAAGATTTAACATCTGGAGAGATTCATGCATCTCTCTTCTGACCCCTTGAGAATCAACATTTCTGAGCAAACATCCTGAAAAAAATATTAATTGACTCCTTTGCTCATGGAACTTAATCATAGAAAATTAGGGTTGGAAGGGACCTGAGAAGGTCATCTAGTCCAACCCCCTGCTCAAAACAGGACCATGCCCAACTATATCATTGCAGCCAAGGCTGTGTCAATCCTCCTTAGTTGCTAAGACTTCAGAACAAGGGATAGAACAGGTCATGACCCCTTAAAGGAAAAAAATATCTAGGCTTCTTTTACACCACTTCCTTGAGAAGTCAGTCATCTAACCCTTTCCAAGAGTGTAAACAAGCCTTGCATTCCTCTCCGAGTGAGGAAGCCTTTTGTTCCAGGATCCTATAGACATACCAGTCCATTGTCCCACTTTATGTACCTGTGAAATAGGCAAGATAAAATGTGCTTACACTTTTTTCCAGAGATAATGCTGTGTGTGTCTAAGTTAATAGTGGTTCATTCAAATTGCCAGTTATTCCAGAGACAAACCTGTCAGGCTGTGTGCTCTCTCTGGCCACTGAGCAGCAAGACAGCTTGGAAGGGCTCCATATGTAAAGGGCCATGCTGCTCCACTTTTGTCCTGAGTTTTGACTTCATCAGTTGGGACTGCCTCATATGGGACTTTGGTTTATAGCTTAAGAATGGAAGGGTGGTTCAGCCTCTAATTCTGTTGCATTACGGGCTTCTTATCTGAGTATGCAACAACAGTAAAACTTATGATGATGGATTTCATGATGTCAAAATCTGTCCAGATAGTACTTGCATTAAGACCATATTGCCATTTGTTACTGCTGTAGGCTGACTCGGACCGGCATCTAACAGATGAAGGGCTCAATA